GTTTACGCATTATTGGTAAGTGCACACATTTACTAAGTATGATATCATGGTCACGCTCCTTGAAGTCTTGGTTAGAATATTCTCAATTGTCTACATATAATCGAAAATATTAAAAAATTCTTCGTTATCTTTTATAATTCTCTTTATCAATAACTTTATGGAGCAATCCTGGTATAGATTTATTAATCCATTGAATGAGACTTAGAGCCTTCAAAAACTTGTATTTTCCATCCATGTCACTAAGATTAGAATCAATTAGTAAATTTCCTTTCACATTTGTTGGTATAATATATATTAGATCGCACACAAAGTCTCATTAATATTATGCACGTACCCGAAAGAGATAATTTCAAGTAATGTGTATTGATTATGTTATACGCATCTGCGATTGCTAGCAAAATCAAATAAATTTTTCTGTGAAGCAGGACACTTTGTATTTATATAACTTTGATCATAACAGTTTTTTATTGTGTGACTGAAATTTCGCTGATGGAAAAATCCACTTCACGTTACCAAAAACATTTTTGCAACAACACGTTAGGTGTAATTCTGATAATATTTTTATCTATATTAATAAAGCAGGAGGAAGTTATATAATCTATACATATATAAATAAATTAATAAAAACTAGTCACATAGTAGCTGCCTCCAGCAAAGAAATACATGCTGTCAATATTACAAATATAGAAGATCTAATTAATGGATTTTACTATAATATTAATTCTATTCCGTGCAAAAATGAGTTTTCATCAAAACAATCACTAGCTTTATCTTGTAGATTCATATCTTCGTATGTTTTGGTCTCAGAATCAAATATATGAACATTAAAAGGGACATCTTTAAACTCTTCAGAAAATACCTTCAAATTCATGTTTTTACATCATTGATCAATTCTTTTTGAATGTGAAAAGTGCAAACTTAAGTTTATTAATTGGAAATCCAAAAAATGCATTCATTAGTAGGGGTAACAAGAAACACGATATCAAGAATTTTGACCATGTTTTCTGTCTCAAATTTCTATGTATTATAAATAAAATTTGTTAATAAATTTAATAGATTTTAGAGACTTGGAGTGCTTGGTACTCTGTATAGCACGAAATAAATGAGTGAGAAGTATACCTTCATCTTTTTCTTCTGTTTTGAATAATAATAAAAGCAATAATTTCACTTTATATACTTACAATCATCATCTCTCATACTTCCATATCAGTTATTTTTATGATTGATTGTTGATATACCAATCCTTTTGATTGTTAGTTGAAGCTATCTGCAAAGATTAAGCGATCTTATAGAATAAGGAATCTCCGATTCTCCTGATCCATACTAATTAATTCGTGAATGATTCGAAATTATGTAGTTTTTTATTTTCCAATACTAATTTGTCTCACGAAGTAAGGATGCTCTCACATCTAGTTATGGGAGTACTTAATAATATGGCTGCAAAACCGGTGCCTGCGGGTAGTGCTTCAGAGACAAATACTAACTAAAGTTTTCCAACTCGAGACGCTTTCACTAAATTACCTACGAAATCAAAATATCTCAGAAATAATGATAACCTCCTAAAGCTTAATCCGTGTAATTACTGCAATAAAAATATTCTAACCTTTCGATTTCAAGCATTTACTGTGTTATCTTGCGGGCATCTGCTACATAGAACATGTCTTGAAAAACATATTGTGCAAGCAGAAACGCAGAACTCAAAATGCCCAGTTTGCTCTACACATATTGTGCAAGCAGAAACGCGGAACTCAAAATGTCCAGTTTGCTCTACACATATTAAAATAAATAGAGAGGAATTTGCGCTAGCTTCGGGTGAGCATCACATGGTACCCAAGGACCATAACCCTGTGAAAATAGCATCTCAACAAAGTAATGTCACTATCAAAGATGAAAATGATTTAGCGCTTTTGGAAGAATTGGGGTTAATAAACAGATAACGGAACCAATGAAACGGCAATGCAAGATTAAGCCACGAGTCCTAGCACGGGCAAAGAAAATAATATCACCACCAAATCCACCTCACCACTCAAACATGCTAGAACTCCCGAAGTAGGTACCTCAGCTAAAGCAGAAGATCGATAAAAAAGGGGAAATATATATGAGTTTTTTGATAATATAGGTATATCTAAAATTTCGTGTGTAAAATCATTTTCGGCTTTTACAATTTCGAAGTTAAGCTGGGATGAAATCGATCATATTATTATAGCTTGTATTGCTACAGTCATGTGATCTGACCCATGGGTCAGGCTAATTCATAATTTTGTTTCGAGCATTTTTGGCCTATAAATAAATTTATGTAAAATAAATTTAAGTAGACATGGATATTATGATGCATTACCTAAAATAATGCATTACTAATAATTAACATAGTAAGCTATTAGTAATGCGTCACAATACCCATATCTACTTTATGTTGCGCGAGAATGTTGTGGTTTTTTTTTAGTTTTAATATTTAAGAGAATGTGGGTCCACACTAAATCGGAAGGTCATAGAAATTCCGCATGCATGGTTTAATCGTGCGATCTTCTGATTGAAAAAAAACCGAATTCGATTAATGAGGTTATGGAAATTCTGCTTTGTGACCGCTTGCGTTCAATCAACCTGATAAAAAATGTATCACAGAATAAATTCGAATGTCCGCATGCAGGATCTGTGACATTACGAGGCTTAAACATAACTTATTTGTGTGGGTGTATTGTTGCGGGATCATGACACTTGTATTGATCAAAAAGTTGCTTACTACTATAAATTCGACACATTGTGCCAAATAAAGCTCTGTTCGGGTCGGGTCAGATCGGGTTTGAGGTCAACCCGAACCGATAATTTCGGATCGGATTCGGATCGGGTTTGATCCGAAAATCGTAAAATAGTTTTTAGTTAATAACTTTTATTTTTACTAAGACACTTGTATTTGGTGTCTAAGTAGAGTTGTTCGGAATGTAATTGTGTATATACCCACAAATTTTCGTTTAATTCCGATTAATATTGATGAGAAATAACGATTTTTAGGCTGACCCGAAATATTTCGGATCGGATTTGACTCCAATCCGACCCGACCAGAAATTTGCGTTCCGGGTCGGATCACGGATTGGACCCGACCCGGTTGGAGGGAGCACTAGTGCCAAAGGTCATAGAATTCCACATGCAAGGGTCGTAACCCCATCTTTGCGATTACTTATAAAATGTAATTGTGGTGACGGCACAACGTACCAAGTCACCAACGATAAATTATCTAATTGTTATGGAAAAAATCGAAGGTCATGGAAATCTGCATGCGTGATCTGTTGTGCGACAATCTGATTGTTTGTATAAACTATAAAAAGGTGAATGTAGGATCATTTCTGCTAAAAAGTTTTTCCTTTTTTCATTTATCTGTACTACTGTTTTTATCCGAGTAAAACAAATGCATGATGGTTTAAAAAGAGGGCCGGCCGAAAGAATCGCAAGACTGATTAAAGATATTAAGGACGAAGAGCAGAGTAAGTAACATGATTGCATTCGAATATTCTAAACATATACTGCTTTCTCATTGATTAACTTGTGTCTCGCTAACATTAGAGCGCGAGAAAAAAAGAAAGGCAAAGGAAGAACGTGAGTATACAGAGTTGGCTTACTAATATTTGTCTGATCAGTTACGATTAGGGCTCCGAAATTTACCGAACCGTTATTTTACCGAGATTTTCGGTAACGGTTCGGTAATTACCGACATCTTCTAATTACCGATCGGTAATTACCGACGGTAATTCGGTAAACTTCGGTAATTGTGATATAAAATATAATTCGTGAGATTTGAACGTAAAATCGACCATAATGTCAAGTTTTAACACACTAACTGCTATTAATTAAAAATATTTGTTGGGTTCTATTCTGCGCATAGGTAAAGTTTCATAAATTTTTGCACATTGCTTCACGAGATATTATCCGAGACGCAAATAAATCGCTTAAATGTGTTCTAGCAATTTATTTACGTTTCGCATAATATCTCGTGACGCAATGTGTAAAATTTTATATATTTTTAATTATTATGTTAAAACTTGACATTATGGTCAATTTTACTTCAATTTCACGAATAATATTTTCAAACCCTTGATTAATCAACGATTAACGTTAACGTTAATCAGTGTATTGATTCATTGATCAACATTTCGGTAAACCGTCGGTAATTATTCGAAACAAATGTTTCGAATAGTTTACCGAACCGATCGGTTTGCCGACCAATCGGTAACGATTTTTACCGAACCGTTCGGAGCCCTAGTTACGATCACTGGGCCGGAAAGAAGAAATTGGATGGTAAATAGTATGATGCGCCCGTCTGAATGGAATATTCATTATTTTGCAGACCAGCAAAACAAAATGCTCCATTGCTTGAGAAAATTCGGGCGGTCACTTCACATTGCTATACGGGATACGGGCTTCCGGAAGTCTACAAGGATACAAAAAGCCATTCAGCAGTTAAAACATGGTTTCGTTTGCAACTAGTAAGATCTGTTCTTGCCCAAGCAAGCACATTTGGTTTTGCGAGTAATCCAATCTAATTGCCTTGCCATTTTATTTTATTTTCTTTTCTTTTCTGTGACAGCTCTTCTTTTGAGCAGGTCAACATAAATAATTCCTGGAAGACACTTGGTCTAGCTCTCAGTAGATATAATAACTTTCACTTCAAACTTTGTAACACTGTCGTTCTTTTCCTTGATGAGTTCGATAAACTGCTCAAAGCGGAGTCAAATGTTCGCTCTGAGGTTCTCGAAACCTTTTGTAGCATTAGGAACTCTTCAGACACTTTTGAAATCCACTCTATCGTTGCTATTGGTACATTCAGCATCCTATATATCGATTCCAGTAGTTACTACGTCGCCCTTCAATATCAAAGAATCGTATTAGAACTCAAATTTTACTTTAAACCAACAAAAGCTATACGAACAGTTTGCTATAGACTCTGAGATAACAATTGACCCAGATGTTGTCGAAGATATTTACGCACAGACAAACGGATATGTAAAGCTGGTCGAATTTCAAATCTTTTACTGAGACTTATGATTTGTTATTTTCAATAGGCATCCTGGCCTCGTATGTCTTTTCTGTTCCAGCACTTGGAAGAGGGAACGCACCTGAGCTATGATATATGGCAACACTTCAGCACGTCATTAGTTAGAGAAGTTATGGTTAATACTCTATTGGAATCCAGATATAAGAATACAATAACTTCTTTCGTGCCAACTTCCTGGCGGATATTGACTTTGAACCTAAAAAAGTTGTTCGTGATATTGAACTGGCCGAGTTTCTCGCGGCCGAAGGAGTCTTGTTTTCTGGCAACGAGACTGAGACATTCATGATTTCCTCACCTCTTGTGCGCTGGTTGATCCTGCAACGCGCAATTTCCAATGTATATTCCTTCTGCCCGCAGGTAGAAAACCCTTTTCATCTCTCTTCACGTACATTGGATATTCTTGGAATCTTAAAGCAAGTAGTCCGTATGTTCGACAAAAAAATTATCAATCTAGCATATGACCATTCAAGACAGCACCTGTGTTTGTAGAAGCTTCTAAAGGTCGTAAGTCCCTAGGGAGAGTGTGTACGATTCAGAGCTACACCGTATCCTGTCAAATGGCTTGGCATTAAGGCTTTCAAATCACAGGACAGTGACATTTGATATATCGCACTGGCGGGCGCAGTATCATAAATACAGTGACATAGTAGTTCTCGAGTTATGGCAACGGCGAGACAGAATGGGCTCGATGAACATTTTGAACGGGCGAAACTGCCAACCGAATCTCAACTGCAAAAAGGCCTTCGAGTCGTATACTTTTGGCACGACCTCGACTTTACAAAATTAGTATGATCGCATGTTGGTGGGATACGAATAATAATAAGCATGTTAGGAAATTACGGGATTATATGGGAGGTATTTTAAAAATCACATCTATATAATAAGCATATAATCTAGTGATCACGTAGGGGTCTTTCCCTTACTGGTGTTGAGGAATTTATGGTGCGTTACATTACGAATATTTCTTTGATTGTTTGCTTTACATTTCATGTTTCTAACAACCTCTGCTCGATTATAGGGTTCGCAATAATCAGAATATAGAAATTAGGACTAGTATTAGAATAAGAATGAATTAGTTATATTTGTTTTTTATCTCTAAATCTGCAATTTCACAAAGAAATGTAGTATGCATTTGCAATTGTATAAAGCAAACCCCTGGTGGATCGATTTCGCATAAATAAACACATTTACTTTTTGCATATGTATTTCGGGATTTTATTACATTGTACGGACATTGATGTCCACATATGATCGATCGTGAAGAATCTTCACAGTTTTTATCATGTGACTTTTTATGTATGCGTATATGTTAATGCACGATGTGCACTTTCTACGAAAGACAAACTCGAGCTTTTGAATATATCCGCATCTTATATAAAGCAATGGCAAACCCTCAATCCAAAATTGAGACGTTGAAAGAATTAAATTCGAAGCTCTTAGCTGAGATTGCTGAGCTTAGAAAGGAGAACGCTTCGCCGCTTGGCTGAGAATACAAATTTAAAACAAGCTATATAAGAACATGAGGCTAGATTCGTGAAACTAGAGCAGAGCGATAAAGGAAAAACTAACCTTATTGCAAAAATAAATGATGATATCAAGGAAATCAAACAGGACTACTCTGACAAAGAAACTTTGACTCGTTGCGAAGCAAATGACTATAACTACGTAGCATTACCCCCGTAACCCCTGAACAGATAATTGATAAATTTTGAATCTCAAATCGGAACGTTTTTTACTGAATAAACTCATAAAATTTGTTTGCGTAACGCGTAACTAAAAAAAACATCCAATTTTATATGGTAAGTGGTGGAAGGCAGACTCAAAGTGCCATTACTTCAAAATAAGTAGCTACGTATATATGTACATTTTGATTACACAAAAATTGAATCGCATTTTAGGTATGAATATCGAACCAAATCTAATAGGTCAAATAAACTATAATAATAACGATAGGTCTAATAATCGCTAAACATCCTATCGCTATAATTGAATCATATAATCGCTAAATATATCCAGAAGATACCATAATATAAATGAAATAATCGAAATAACTGGTGGACATAATATTCTTGATAGATTATTGAACATGAAAAACCTTTCGATTTTATTAGTATTGTTGATCAGACTGAAACACCAATTCAGTGGGTTATTCGCGTTAGAATGCTCTTCAAGATTTATTAGAACCAGAAGGTACGAGAAGTTTATTTCATCAATACTATCTTCATGCTACTCATCCACAGAATGCGAATTTTGATAAATATAATTATTGTAGAGGTAAACTGTATGAAGATGGAACTGCGATATGTTTCGGATGTATGCAACTTATGCGTGTTAATGTAAATTTGGGACCAGAGGTATTTCTATCCGATTTAATAGAAAATCATTGGAAGACTGAGTGTTCAAAAACTCATGATGGGTATGCTAGAAAGATTCAACCAGCATTTCGTGAATTTAGGAAAAGAGAACTATCAAATGCACGACTTGCTTGGAATAGCTGTAAAAATGATAGTATACCTACTGAAGATAAATTTTTAGGTTAGGTTTCAATTTCGAGAGTCGTAAGGGATCCAAAATCTTATGAAAAGTCAGAATGTGGTGTCGTAATGAGAAAGATATTTATTATACTGACTGCCAATGGATTGAAAATAAGAAAGCTCAATTACGAATTCGATGGTAAAAGCTTCTTCTACATTTAGAAGCGTAACATATAGAATTATCAGAGTTTGTTCTGATTTTTATTACGAAGTAATGGCACTTACGTGCTTCGAATTCCTAGAATTTTGAGAATTATTATTTCGAAATAATATAATGAGCAGTAAAGTAGCTTCATCATTCGTTGGAACCCCTCCTTTCGATTCATATTATTCGGATAAACTTAGTGAACTTTTTCCATCAATACAATGGAAAAGCCTCACAACAGAAAAATATCATATTAGCACAGAACAAGTTAGTGGTATTTATCAGGAAATAGGTTACCTTATTAATTTATAATTACTCATATTTCTATTAGATATTATTTTTAATTTATTATTTATTACTTGATTATTATTAATTAGTACAATATAAAAATTAATAAAAAGATAAATTAACAAAAAGAAAAATTGATGAAAAGACAAAATAACAATAATAGAAAGATAAAAAGTAATTTTGATAAAAAGATATTTTTTATACTAACTAATTTTGTATAAGTGTAGTACTTTATCTTGTAAATAAAGAATAAATTTGTTTAATAATTTTGAAGATTCATTTAGAATTTTTAATAAGAATTTAGATTTGATTTAGTTTTTAGACTTGAAATAGTTTAGTATTTTAATATTTTAATATTTTATATTATAATACACAGACAAACCTCTCTAAATGCACCCTCCTGGATCATAATAAATCGTGCATTTAGAGAAGGTGTGCATTTATAGAGGGCAAAATATATAGAGCTCTTATGAGTTCGAATCGAGCCATACTATGCATTTAGAGAGGATGTGCACTTATAGAGAATGTATTTAGAGTGATTTGTCTGTAATATAAAATATTAACAAAGATAAAATAATATTACAAAAATAGAAATAAAAAAATTTCTTAATAAAACTATTTTGAATTTATAAATCTTTTCGTATATAAATTTTTTCAATTAAAATAACTCATTTTAAAAATAAACTCTCTGTATTAAAAGTATTTATTAAAAAAAATTTTTATTTTATAAAATATCAATTAAAGAACTTGAATAATTTATTCAGAAAATATTTAATCTAATTTAAATATTATTATTAAGATTTTTATTAGACTTTCTCAGATTGAATTTTGAAAATTTTCAAAAAAATTTAAACAATTCTAATTTTTATAATATTTATTATTTATATAATGAATATTTATTTAATTTATTTAATAAATTATACTTATATAAATAATTACATATTGTTATTATAATAATATTAATTTTATAATTTTATTTAAATAAATTAGTATTTATATTTTAATTACTAAATATATTAAATAAATAAGCTTAAAATACAAATAAAAAATAAATTTACTTATATTTATATATACAGTGACAATCAGAAATAATGTAACAACGTCAAAATTTATTAATTAAATATAGTAAAATGCGAATTTTTCTCTTTATATAAAAGTTTTCAATTTTATTAATAAATATTTTTTATTTTACATTAAAATGAAAATAATATTACATATTTTAATATATATTTTCAGATTTTTTGATTTAATCTAATAAAGCTGTTCTAATTGCATATAAAGTCAATTATTTTTTATATGTTTTAATTATAAAAAATAATTGACTTTATATGAAATTAGAATAGCTTTATCAGTTAAATCTAAAAAATCTGAAAAAATATATGTTAAAAAATGTAATATTATCTTTATTTTAATATAAAAATAAAAAATATTTATTAATAAAATTAAAAACTTTTATATAAAGAGAAAAATACATATTTTATTATGTTTAATTAATAAATTGTATTATTTCTAATTATCACTATATTCTAAAAATATTAGTTATTTTTATAATTAATATATTTTTTGAAATTAATATATTTTATTAAATTTTTAATTCATTTTTAAATAAAATTAATAAATTTTTTATTTTAAATTTAAATATAATCTAATTTATTTTTTTATTATTTTTAATAACAGTTTTTATAAATAAAAATATCTAAATAATTTATATAAAAATAAATATATTAATATTAAATAAAGAATATTATTAAATAATTAATATAATTAAGCAAATTATATTAATAAAAAGTAATAATTAATTTATTTTTCTTATAAATAATTGAAATTATAAATAAAAAGTTAATATTATTTTTTATTAATTTAAAAAATTATAATTATATAATTAAAATAAAATATAATATAAATAATTATAATTTTGCAATTAGAATAAGAAATTATAAAAAATTTTATAATTAAAACAAGAAATTATTAATTAAATAAAAGCTAAAAATAATTAATAAAACTAAAACAACAAAATAACTTAATTTTTTAATATTATATTTATAAATAAATTGTTATTTGTAAAATTATCAATTAACTTTAAAATAAAATAACTATTAAATTAATTATTAATATATTGAATTAAGATTTTTGTACTATATATAATATAATTTAAAAAATATATAAAAAATTTAAACAAATATAAAACAAATATTTTTATATATAAAAATCTATTAGATTTAATTATAAAATTATTAATAACTATTAAAAACAAAAATAAGTTATCAAAAATTAAATTTTTTGAAAAAAATTCTATAAAATTATAAAAAAATATTTAATTATATAAAATATTTTGTATATAATTATATATATTTAAAGTGTATAATTATTATTAAAATATCATAATATACTATAATATATTAAAATAAATTTAATCTATTAACTAATATATTAATTATTTAATTTCAAGAAAAATATTTTCAAAATTAATAAAAATATTATAAAAAATTTTAAAGTAATAAATAAAAAATTAAACAATATGAAAAATTTTTAATAAATATATAATAACTAACAGAAGTATAATAGTATATATATAATTTATTAATAAAATATAATAAAAATTAAAATTTTTATCTTATATAAATTTTGTAATAATTATAATTAAAATAATTATTAAAAAAATTCTAAAAAAATATAAAAATAAAAAAATATAAAAATTTCAGAAAAGCTATAAAAATAATATTTTGATAATCAATTTGATTTTGCTATATTATTTATATTAATAAATACTTAAAACTCATTTAAAAATACTTGTTTATTTTGTAAAATTCAAATAATAATTTTAGTTATTAATAAATTTAATTTCAACAAGTTAATTTTAATAAATTATTTATTTAAATAATATTAGTTTGGAAATTATTCTTAGTTAAAATATGTAATATTATTATTATTATTTTAATATAAAAATAAAAAATATTTATTAGTAAAATTAAAAATTTTTAAATAAAAAATATTTATTAGCAAAATTAAAAATTTTTAAATAAAAAAATTTATATTTATTATATCTTATTAATAAATTTTGATATAGTTATATTTGTTTAATTATTATAATATATTTAATTAAATTTTATTCAAAAAATATATTATTTTTTAAATTTTTAATAAATTATAATAAAATTTTATTTTTTATTATATTTACTATATTTTATCAAAAAATAATTAAAATAAAGTTTTTTAAAAATATATATGTTTATTAAATAAAAATAATCTAGAAATTTTTTATATTATAAAATAAATAATTTTTACAAAATATTATATATTAATATATTTATAACTGGAAAATTCTGGTTATTGAGTAAATAGCTCTTAAAGTTTAACAATTTTTTTTATAAGTTTATATATATATAAATTTTTGATCACATATTTGCTATAATTCTATTAATACAAATATTTTTTATTACTAATTGGTTGATTGCACACCAAATTTTCTAGATTAACCAATAAAATTCATAATTTTGATTAATTCAACAAAACAATTCCAATAAAAGAAAATTTAAATATAATAAATATGGAAAACAAATACTTAAATCTGACTTAAAGCACTAATAAAAAATGTTGGAAAAACAATTTTATATATAATTTTATTTCTGATTCTAATACTAAAATTAACTTTAAATTTAATACTGATAAAGTAAAATAAATTCTGGTTAATATACAAAATAGAAAATTAGTGACTGATTTGGTATATAACTAGAAATTTGGCCGATGGCGCAGCAATTGTGGTGGCTAAGTGACTCGCACTGTATAATTGATAATCAAGTTAGCCAATGAAAAACAAATATACGTAACGATAAATTCGTCGAGCACATTATAAGGCTTTGTCGATTATAAGAATGCAGATTTTTGATCAGATCGGCAAAACAAATCCGATACAAGAAATGCGAAAAATACGAGAAATAGGTGCCTAAATCTAACTCGGACTAATTAAAAACGTCGGGGAGACAATTTGTATATATCTCGTTTCTCAACCTTAATCTAAAATCAACACTCTAATGTTAATTAATACTACAGTAGAATTTTTCGAGATCAACGTAACCTGGCTGATTTCTTACGTGCATCCGGCGATATGATTCTAAATACGTATCGGTGTCCCGTCCCGTCCAACTATGTTCCCATGACAATACTGCCGTATCGGTATGTACAAGGAACATGGACATATTCTATCTAAAAAAATAAATTTCGGTTTGTAAATGTGATTTGTTACATGAATTTGTTCTAAATACATGTACATGTACATGTACGTACAAGTACGTATGTATCGGTATCATGTAACATAAATCGGAAAATAAAACACATGTGAATGCCTAAAAAAGTTATCTTTATCGTTATGGATTTTTCTATTGATTTGTTCTTGAAAGATCTTCTCCACAGAAAAGCAAATTTCGAAATGTACATGTAGAGTGTTCTTTATTATACGTATGCACACGAGGGCAAAAGGGAGAAAAGGAGACATACAGTATATTCGAGCGTCATTTATTATCGTTATTAAATAAAAAAAAACCACTTAATGAGTACATAAAATAGAAACTTTCGTCAGAAACTAATGTACATGTATTATGTGTTTTAAATATTACATAATACGTAATAAGATAGCGATAGATAAGCCAAGTTGTATAAAAAATTATGTCACTAACTTCAAGGATTTCTTTCCAGAATGATAAAGTCACAACCAACACAATGATGATCTTTGTCTGACTTAATGCAAAGAATTTTCTATGTAGTGTGGGATGAGAGAACGCTGTGTCTATGAGGCTGATTTTGTTATTATATGTGCTGCTGTAGAATTTCATTAGCTTACGCTTAGACTTCTTAGACTTTTAATCTTTTTCCCTTCTTACTTTTCGCGTCAATTGTGATATTAAAAATGCAAAATTCCGGAAAGTTTTGCGATGAGCAATCACCTAAAAGCCAAATACAGTTATCTTCGACAGCCGACACAACAATTTCATATAAACTAAAAATCATTAACCAACTCTTTTCGATTCTTCATTTTAGTCACAAGAAAAAACTACCGCTAACTAAGAACAAAAAACAGTTACAGTCGAAACAACAACTGCGTCAGCAATTACATCCACAATTGGAATCTGATTTTTCAACAACAACGATTCTATCTGAAAAACCAAAAAGTTATATAGCAACAAATCAACGACTAAATTTCAACTGGTCAAACATTGATCAAAAACTCATCTTGGCTGGAGAGAACAAATCATACGAAATATTATTGGCAGCGGATGAATTTCTTGCTGAAAGTTGTAAAGATAATCCTTTAAAATCTTTTCGTCTAAGTGATAAATACAATCTGCCGAAATCATATAAAGAATCCTCAAAACTGATACTTGACAATCTCAACTTATATCGACGAAAAGATGAATTCAAATTGTTGTCAGAACAAGCAAAACGTGCATTATACGAGCGACGTTGGGAATTCGACCAAGGTCTCAAAGAAATTTATAGTTTTGTGAAACGTGGGAAGTGTGGTTCTTTACGGCATAACAATTGTGGCGTAGTCGTTTCGCGGTTTCAACATCACGAGCTTGTTGGAAAAGAAATAAAAGAGCGTATTAACGCTGTACTTGTTAGTCAAGTCACGGCTCCGTCTAAAATACATGCTGCCTTACTGCGTAATCCAAAACACCAATCAAATGCCGCATCTATGTGTGTAGGGATTAACGAATGGATCGAAAAGAAACTTTTAACACATTGTGGCAAATTTGAACCGTTGGAATGTGAACGAATTCGAATTTTTCGAGCTTTTTATATTTATGTTGAATTGAATTTATAACTTCATATAGTATGTAATATATGTATATACATACAACAAGATATCGATATCTAAGTTTTAAGCTTCAAATTATTTTGTATAAAGTATAGAATTTTGAAATCACCTATTTTGAACATATGATGATTATTATAATTGTAACAGATTAAAGCGAAACCAGATTAAAATGAAATCAGATTATAATAAAATCAAATCAAAATAAAATTTGGCTCCTTTTTTATGGGATAAAAATTTCAGAGAAGGGTTAGGGTTAGGGTTAGGTTAGAGCATAACGATAGAGTATAGCGATAGCATTAAAATCTGTAATATATTGACCTATGATTATTTAAACATCCCACTCTGTTTCGTTTTAATCCGATTTCATTTTAATCCGCCACAATAATTATGTTGGCATTAGCAATCTTTATACATGTACTTGTTCACAATAAACACGAAATTTACATCTGTTGATTGCGAATCAAAGAAATTAGTTTGGGGGGTCAAAATCGCGCTTTCAAATGAGCTTTATCGAAAGAAATGAATACAGTCATCCAACGTACAGATCCTATCGCTATTGTAAACAATATAAATTCAATAGAATCGGTATATTGAAGTTGACTGTTCATGTATTATAGTGATGTATTAACGTTAAATAAAATACATGTACGTACTTTGCAAATATTATAAAGAAATTGGCATAAAAGATGGTTTATTTGAATAAAAATAATTTGATGCTTAATTCTATCAAATTTACTGAAATGAAGATTAAATATCATTCGTGTATTTCTATTAAAGTTCAAAATGTATTTAAACTCAGCGAACGTCAGTAAAACTCGATTCGAAATACGGTGAACTTCATTTAAATTCAAAAAGTTATGGAAATTCCATAAATTTAGTGTATTCCAAACAAACTACCGAACTTGCGCCAAATGATACGGAGTTTACCCGCTTGTAAAAACGGTTAGATATCGAGTCTTTAATAGAAAATCCCCTTCTCATAATGGATTCTAGGGATATACAAAATAGAGTATGGGTATCTGAAGACAGTGATAGTAAATGACCAGGTCATTTGTTATGTGATTTATTTTCAACCAATAGAATTTCAGTGAGTCATTTTACTCATACATGTATTTATAATGACGTCATAAAGTTTAATTGGGTGAGATCACTTGACTTTTTGAAATGACCAGTTAGGTCATTCGACCTTTTAAATGACCAGTCATTGGTCATCTGTCATCGGAGTCATTTGGGTCATTTACCATCACTGTCTGAAAGAGATGTGTCTGAGTTTTCTTATCTATATTATCTATATATACTTGCGAATGGCGATGTTTGAGATTGGCGTTGTTTTTCATGCGAAAAAAAATCAAGTTCTCCGAACGGTTCGGTAAAAACCGTTACTGACCGATCGATAAAACCGATTCGTCGGTAATTCCACCGAGATTATTCGAACCGAATGGATCGAGTAATTGCCGATTGGTATCGGTAATATCGGGTTCGGTACCTGTTTACAAATAATGAAAATAAGTACATGTAATATAAATGTTTTACCTGAAAAATTTTTTTTGAAATGAGATATCTATGCATTTATGTTTAGCTGAGTGTTAGCAAAATAATTTTTTAAATGTATATTCGTGACATGAAAGATATTGGTAATTTCAGTAAATTCGTTTCGGTTCGGTAACCAAAAGATGTCGGTAATTAGGGGCGTGACAAATATTAGCTAATTTCTGGGGGGAGTATGGCCAAATCTCAGATATTAATATAATCTCACGTGCATGTGTAAAATGAAATCTCAGGAGGGGAGGGGTCCCTATAACAAAATGGATATTAGCTAATATCTGTCACTCCCGTCACTGATAATCTCAGTTAGATAGCAGCTCGGTAAATTACCGAAATAAACCGAATCGATCGGAGGCGTGGTTCTTCAATGAGTAGTCTATCCGATCAACTGATGTGTGGTGACGATATCTATAATTTTAACCTAAAATAAACCCTCTAATTAGCGCAGAATTTTTTACGGAGATTATTTTACTGTCAATTATGTCATCATATATTGTTAGAAAAAAATCAAGACGGATCACAATTCAGGTGCCTTTCCCGTTAATGCTCTTTTGCAACACGGAAGACATCAATGCCGAGTTGTAAAACTTGCTGATACAATTGGCTCAACATGCTTCAAGAGCGTCGCCATTTTAATAGTACCTGTTATAACCAGGTATCACTTTGATTAGGGATGTTATCGGTTTGAATGGTTCGGTTTGAACGGTTCAAACCATGAAACCAAACCATGGTTTCAAATTGTGATTTGAATTATGATTTGAATCATGATTCAAACTATTCAAATTATAGTTTAAATTATTCAAATTACAATTTAATATAGTTTAAACTACAGTCATATAAGAACACGCTATATAAGAACACCTCTCTATAGGAACACAATTTTGAGAACCGAATAATTAATATTTATAATAAAAATGACCTCTTTATAAGAACAAACTCTCTATAAGAACCAATTTTTATGGTCCGACCATGTTCTTATAAAGAGGGATGATTGTATCAGGAAAAATTTAAACTCAGAAAATTTCAGATCTAAAATACTGTGAATAACTTCAGATCCAGTGGACCAATCTGAAATATTTTGATATATACCGTTAAATTCGTCTAATAAGGCGAATCAAATGATATCAAGATTTTTCAGATTGGTCCACCGGATCCGAAGCTATCATGACCGAAAATTTTTCGCAGTTTGCAGAATTGCAAATCGAATTTTGGATGAATTTGGTTATTTGTCCATGGGAATCCTAAGATATTTTCAAAATTCAATTTGCAATTCTGCAAACTGTAATGTTGTTTAACTTTTGGTTGTGATATCTCTGAATACAGTAGACCAATCTGAAAAATCAATCTTGATATTATTCGATTTGTCTTAACTATATGAATCTAACAATATCAAAAATTTTTCAGATTGATCCACTGGATCCTGAGTTATTCATGTTATTTCTATATAGATTTGAGATTTTTCATAATTTTGTGTGTGACTTCAAAATTTACCAAACTGGCTTACTGAACTGTAATCTTATTGAGATTTCTGGTAACAGTTCAGTAATTACCAAGATCTTCTAGTTACTAATAGTTTTCAGAATTCTTGGAGCATATTTTCATGATAAATTTCAGATATCTATTAAAATAAAAAATAGAAAAAAATAAAATCTAAAAAATTTAAAATATATTATATTTTGCTTTATTAATTCAGTATCTTTTTCATTTTTATTTCATTTTTTAATCTTTTTTTAATATTTTATGGTTTTCTATATCAAAATCGTGACCTTCTGAATCAGAATTATCAGATCTTTTATCATTTTTAGTGTGTGTTGTTTTAATTATTAATTTAATTGATCCTTTCTTTTTTGTACTCTTGGCTGAATTTTTAATGCTTGTTTTTACTTTAGAACTTGTAGCATTGCTTTCTTCTTTATAGTTATTGGTTTTCTTGATTTGTTTCATGATATTTGACATTCTGAAAATATTTTTTCATAGTCATTTCATGAATAATAATTCATATATAATTTTTAGTTAAGTTATTAATATACTTTATTCTTTAAATCTTTATTTAATTTTTTCTTTTTAATTGATATTATCATTTTTTTAGCAGATAATTTAGCTGCTTGACTTTTAGTAATACTTAGAAAACTTATAATTAATTAAAAAAATCTTTGAGTATTATAATCAAATTTGATTAAATTTTTGAATTTAATAAAGATAATATTAACTAAGTGAGCTTTGTTTCTGTCTGATTCTTTTTGTTTTTTATTTATAAGTTTATGAACTAACTGATATTTTTCTTTATACTATTCATATATCTAATTGTTGAGTTTCTTGATATATTCTTTACTTTTTTTCAATATTGTTTTTGTTCTAGTCTCAAGTTCTAAAAGTATTAAAAAAATAGATCTCAAAGTTCTTTTATTTCTTTATAATTAAATTATTATAATAATTATTCATATAATTTTTATTATTTTTTTTGTTTTCCAGTATAAGTTGTTAAATAACAGTATTTTTTTAGTAATTCTGGTAGATTTTTTCTTTTTTATATTTTTTATCTTTATAAAATATTTATAATATAAATTAATTTTAATAATTATTTATTATAATAATTATTTTTTAATTAGATTTATTATAAAAATATTTAAATAGTTTCTTAATATTGAAGTTTTTGCTATTGAATATTGAATATATAAATAATTTTATAAATTAGAAATACTCTTTCAGTTATTACTATAACTATTTTTTTATTAGCAAATAAATTTGAATTTAAATAATCTTAACTATCTCAAATTATTCAGAACTTGTTGTATAATAAATATTTTTTTTGATTATTATAATTCATAATAATATTAATTTTATTTATTTATTTCTTTAATTTATAATACTTTGAAATCAGATTTTTAATTAATTTCTCTATTAAATAATTATTTTTATTAATTAAATTTGTTATAGAATTTATTATTCTTAGAGATTCATATATTTTGAATAATTTTTTTAGTGAGCTTACCAAATATTATAATAAAACTTCTGATAAATTAAAATTATATTTGAATTAGATTAAATTAAATTTAAAATCAATCTGAACTAACAATTTTTGGTTAGATCAGATTCAGATTAGATTTAATTTGAAAATTATAAAATAGTTTTTTGCTTATAACTTTTAGTTTTACTAAAAATACTTATATTTTATATCTAAGTAGAGATATTTAAAATATAATTATATATATACTTACAAACTTTTATTTAATTCCAATTAACTTTAAATAAGAAATAATAATTTTTAAACTGATTTAAAATATTTAGATTAAGTTTGATTTCAATTTGACCTAATTTAAAATATATATTTCAAGTTATATTAGAGCCAATTATGCAATTAGAAGTAGTAGTTCCTAAGGACTATATGGGTGATATTTTGGCTAATCTAGCTTCCCATCGCACTATAATCAAACTTAATCCAATTGAAATATTATAATAAA